AGCAGCGGTCACCCTTCTCAGGGGCCCCTCTGTCCGTCCAGGAGGGACAGAGTCTGAGGCTTAGAATTTAGAATTAGGTTTTAGAGGTAGTGTCTGCTTGCAATACAGTTTCTGTGCTTTTCACCTCTCACCTCTTGTCCGTGGCTTCGTTCTTCAAATCCATCAGGACAAGCACCCAGGGAAGCAAATCACCTGCTCAATAAATCGACCCACATCACTTCTTTCTGATCTAATTCTTTCTTCCGGCTGCAGGAACAGTCATACCTTCGTGACTGCCTTGGGCTGTTGTTCCAGGCTCTGAGCCCCAGCAATCCTGATATCCCTCTATTCGTTTTTTTCTATCAGTTCATGTTATAGCATATTTTAAAGTGGTTTGTTCAAAACCATAAGGGACTTACCATAATACTCTTTTTATTAACTTCTTTTAGACAGAAAAGTCTTATAATCCTGAAATAATCAAGCAGTCATTCCAATTCAAACCGCATGTTGTGATCCTGCCCTCTCAGTTTATAAGCATACTTTCCACCTGAGTGGTTAAAGATTCACACACAACTGCTATCTACGTAACCACTCAGGTGAAGTACATGGTCTGACTTGTAGCTTTCCTTCCATCTCTTAGCAGACAATCAATAAACATACTCCACAGGGTGAAAAAGAAGAAAGAAACTGAGTAAAAGAATTTTAAAATACATGTCAGTAGGCATTTCATAAGATTAAATTTTTAAAGCTAAAATTTAAAAAAGTTCTGCTCATCATTGACTAAATATATCTTTAAATCTATAAGCAGTAGATAAGCCATAATTAATATTTATATATAAACACAAAAGACTGAATAAATAAAATAAACAAAATGGGTATATTCTTAAAATTAGAATGGCTGTAGGATTTGCATGAGAAATGCAGAAACCATATATGCCTTGTGGTCTCATTTTTGTAGGGATGAAAACTAATAACTAATGTTTGGAGTACATTCTTTGACTCAGGTATTCTACTGAATCTTTTCTAAGACCCCATGGTCTGGGTACAATTATTATCTCCATTTTGTATATGAAAAAACCTTAATAAGCCATTTGTCTAAAGTCAGCCAGTTACCAGCTGGTAGACCACGATTTATACCTAGGAAGCCTTAATGCAGACCACTACGCTGCGGTAATGTACAAGTGAGAAGCCAGAATAGGAGCATTTGCAGGATTTCTTCCATTCTGGGGTACTTGTGATTTTTTTTAAAAGTCAGCTTTATAGAAGTCTAATATACATAATAAAATTCACTAATTTTCTTCACAATTAGATGCATCTTGAAAATATGTCTTCAGCAGTGTAATCATGACCAAAATTATAATTTCCACTATCCCAAAAAGTTTCCTCATGCTCCTTCTCAGTTGAGTCCTTTGTCACCATACTCCCTGGCTCTTGGCAATCACTGACCTTCTTTCTGTTATGAGAGTTATGCCTTTTCTAAAATTTCATATAAATTGGATCATACAGTCTTTTGAAGATAAATTTTTAAAGGTATCTTAATGTATTTCAGATTCTTTATATCGTTGTATCAATAAGATATTACTTGTTAATGTTGAGTAATATTCTGTTGCATGGGTATGACACAATTTGTTTATCTATTTACCAACTATTGGACATTATTTTTAGTTTGGGGCACTCATATGCTCATGCCTGAGCCTTGTAATATTTCAAACTCTGGCTCTGTCATTAACTGTGCCCTCAGGCAAGTTATTAAACCTCCCTGAGCCTTGGTTTCTTTTCCTACAAATTGGGGGCAATAATAATTACCTTCAAAAGTTGTTGTGAGGATTAAATATTAATGTTTTTTAAGTACTTCACACATGTAAATACCTTAGTATGTAGTAATTGTTATCATCTTTAAACAATGGGATAACAATAACCGCTATCCTATCTCACAGGTTCTTATGAGAAGAATGTGCATGAAAACACAAAGCACTATACTAGTATAAACGTCACTTCCAGCTCCTAGGCAATCAATGAGTATGGATTGCAGTAGTCCCGCACTATCAGAGAGCTAAACACGGAGGAGAGTGTAGTCCATTATACAACTCTAAACAAATTGCTGCTTTCCCATTAAAATAGCCCACACTGCTCAATGGAAACAAATCCACCTAAGTCAAGTTGTTGTGAGGATTAAATATTAATGTTTTTTAAGTCCTTCACACATGTAAATACCTTAGTACATAGTAATTGTTATCATCTTTAAACAACGGGATAACAATAACCGCTATCCTTTCTCACAGGTTCTTATGAGAAGAATGTGCATAAAAACACAAAGCACTATACTAGTATAAACGTCACTTCCAGCTCCTAGGCAATCAATTAGTATGGATTGCTCGAAAATATAACTTTTCAACTTACTGGAAATTGTTTTCCAAGTTATTAATTTTAAAGCCACCAATATAGGTTAATGAGGAATAATTTAAGGATGTTACATTAGAGTGGATAGATTTTGGGAGAAGTCTTTATGGCTTGTGTTTTCTTCCATTTTAATTTAATAGACGTTGATGCATGTTGGTCCTGAGTATTGTGGTAATTAATGCTTTTCTGCATTTCCAAAGAAATCCTGGGTTTGGGTGTAAACACAAGAGGACTCCCCCATCCCTGAGGCAGGGAGTCAGTCCTCTAAAGACATAGTTTTCACAACTAGCACATGTAAGTGAGTCCTTTTTGAATTATTTCATACAGGGTTCCCATAATTTAAATTTTATCCTATTGAATTTGAGGGGAATGGCTTTTTCCCCTACAGTGCTATTGTAGTTCACCAAGTACTCTACTGGAAATTAGTCCACCTCTCCACAATGGGAATGATCTAAAAACATGTCCCTTCACTTGTTTTCATCTGCAACAAACACTAACATCATTACTTGTCTGATGAAAACATGAATAAAGTCAGATACAGAAGTTTGTTTAGACTTCTTCCAAGAAAACTCTTCCCCTCGTAATCAGTTTTGAGCCCTCTCACTTTTCTCTCTCAATTAGACTTGGAACTCACTGAAGCCTGGAATGTGCTTTGGAATATTTTTATTTTCCATCAAAAGGCTCAGAATAGTACCAATAACCAGGGATCAATAAATGACTTTTGCGTGAATTTATTTAGTCTTTGGAACAACGTCTTTGGTAGTGAAGTCTCAGTTGAAGAGGATTACTTACGAGTTGTTTCCCTCGGAATAATAAGATTGGAAGGTATTTTCTTTCTTTCTGGAAGAATAAAATCTGCTTGTCCGGGTGCAAGTTTAGGAAATGTAAAATTGATGTATTTTTGAAATGCCATTCTCGTTTCTTGTAATTCCTCCTCCAAGAAATCTTTCCAATTTGTCATAATTCCCAGTTGTTGTGCTACCGACACCAGCTCGTCCTGAGTGTTAACCAGTTTATTCATCACATTTCCAAGTGTGGCCTGATGGGCTTTCTCTGCTTCTTGAAGCACTTCCTGGACTTCTTCCTGCTTCTGCCTCTGAGCCATGCAATAGTAGATGTTCATTTCATGTTCTTTTTCCTTTACCAATTTGCTCACACTCTTCCTCTCATCCTTAACAACGGTAATACCAGCATTCATAAATTCATCCATGACCTTCCTACAAAAGATAATATGGGTTTTTAAGTTAGACGGACTAGCCACTAAAAACAGAAAGATTTTGTCTTTCAGCATAGTTGTATGAGAATTTATTGCATTGTTTAGGTGAGACACCAGGCTGAGACAGGCTGGTAGAGATGGGCTTCTGGATTCCATTAGCTGTTAACAATCAAAAAACGTTTTTCAGAGTAGGGAGGTCGTTCATGGACTTCCCCACTGTGGGCTAAGGAGAAGCCACCAGTCTAGTGTCTGGCAGTAACTTTAGGAACCCAAGTCCACCTTGGCCAGAAAAATATGAGTGCAGCGTGCTTGAAAATGAAGATACAGCCTTAGCCAGTTTGGCTCAATGGTTGGAGCATCGGCCTGCAGACTGAAGGGTCATGGGTTTGATTCCTGTCAAGGGCATGTACCTTGGTTGCAGGCTTGATCCCTGGCCCCAGTTAGGGCATGTGCAGGAGGCAACCAATCCATGTATCTCACTCACATTGATGTTTCTCTCTCTCTGTCTCTCCCCCTTCCACTCTCTCTAAAACTCAATGGGAAAAATACCCACGGATGAGGGTTAACACAAAAGAGGAGGAGGAGGAGGAGGAGGAGGAGGAGGAGGAACTGGGTCAAATTTCCAAATTCCTAGAGAAAGTATTTCTCTTTTTAAAAAATATATGTATTTTTTTAATTTCAGAAAGGAAGGGAGAGGGAGAGATAGAAACATCAATGATGAGAAAGAATCATTGATTGGCTGCCTCCCGCACGCCCCACACTGTGGATCGAGCCCACAACCCAGGCATGTGCCCTGAATTGAACCATGACCTCCTGGTTCGCAGGATGATGCTCAACCACTGAGCCCTGGTGGTTGGGCGAGAAAGTATTTCTGTACATCAATCCAGCTATCTCCCTTTAGCCAGAAGGGAAAACACTGTACTCACAAGTCAGGTTGAGCTCTGATTTTTATTTTATCTGAGCAATACTCTATGACAGCTGACTCAAACCTTTTGGTCTCGAAATCTCTTTTTGTTCTTCAAATGACCAAGGAACTTTTGTTTATATGGGTTATATCTAGTGACACTAACAGTATTAGAAATTAAGAGTAAGACAAAAATATTTATAAATTCATATAAAGTATTAATAAATCCATTCAATATTAACATAACTTTTATGAAAAGTATATTTTCCAAATCATAACAACTTTTGGTAAGAAAAGTGACATAATTTTACATTTTTTAAAAAACTCTTTACTGTCTGGCTTAGTAGAAAAAAAGCTGGATTTTCATATTGTTATAATCTGTTGTGATACCACACATCAGAAAACCCTGGAAAATGCCACTATATATTCTGTAGATAATGAGAGTAAAAAGATAAATAACACCTTAGTATTATTAAGAAAGTAGCTTTAACCTCATGGACCCCCCAAAGGGTCTGGGGACCACACTTTGAGAACTACTGCTGAATGAATTCACAGACCTGTAGCTACAATGTATGTAATTAGATATAATTTATAGCAGCCTACTGTACTGAATTCTTACCATGTGCCAGGCAGGTTAATGAGCGTCCTGTGCATATATATTGAGTTAATGATTCCTCAAAACAACCCCATGAGGTGGGCCTATTGTTATACCTACTTTACTGATCAGGAAACAGGCTCAGAGAGACCAAGTAACTTGCCCAATTTCACGTAATTAGTCAAAGTGGCAAAATGAGCACCGAGACCCAGGCAGTCTGAGTGGCTCTTAGCCACTGTGAAGTACTTCCAATGGGTGTCTCTGGTTAACCTAGTTTGGTAGAACCTCTAAAGATTTGAAAATTTAAAAACACCTATAAATTTGGATTTAAATATTTATGGTTGTTACTAAAAACCCTCCCCCTCTGTCTCCTAGACTAATACCGTCTTTCCAAGATTTTCATATTGTTTCAACCACCTCCCCTTTCTTCTAAAGTTGATCCCCCAAGATGCAATTAGTTCTCATTATCTCTGATCTTTAAACTTGACTTTCAAACCTGACAGACTTCCCTAGTCTTGAGATAAGAGGTTAAGGACAAATGGCTTAGTAGAAAAAAAGCTGTCCTTAACTTCTCTAGCTGCTATGCTATTTCTCCTTTTCCCAGCAACTTGGCTATATCCATCATTAATAACAAGGATTAACATTTACTGAGTATTTACTATGTCCCAGGGACAATGCTATATATTTTACATGCATTCCATTCCATTTAATTTTAAGAATAACCCACTGAAGCTAGTATGATTTTTATTCATTACTTCTTATTATTCCCAAGTAGCAGGAGAGAAAATTAAGGCTTAGAGATCTAGTTCTTGTTCAATGTCACACAATTGAGAAGGTGGGATAGTTCCTGCCCTTCACCATTACCTGCTTCAATCATGTAAGAGGCCACTATAAATTTTATATAGGGGGAAGGGTAATACTGTAATAATAGTATTTAGAATTGTTATTCTAGCAATATCAGGTAAATGGAATCTTACATAGGATAAAGAGACCAATTTATACTATTTTGTAATATTCTGAGAGTGCAAAGTTAGGGTCTGAACGCATGGTGAGAGAGAGAAAGAAATAGGAAGAAAGAAAGGGATAAATCCAAGAAATATTACACAGTCGTTAAGTGCCAGAAGTTATGACTGCTAGGGGATAGTGGAGGCAGAAAGAGGAGGAATCAAAACCACCTTCCCGATTCTCAGCCTGGGTCACAGGAGAGCGGAGGCGCTGTTATGGAAGGGACAGCACGACAGAGGTGGGAGTGTGCATCTGCCCACACCTTAGGGCAGTGGTTCTCAACCTTCTGGCCCTTTAAATACAGTTCTTCATGTTGTGACCCAACCATAAAATTATTTTCGTTGCTACTTCATAACTGTAATGTTGCTACTGTTATAAATTGTAATGTAAATAAATATCTGATATGCAGGATGGTCTTAGGCGACCCCTGTGAAAGGGTCGTTTGACCGCCAAAGGGGTCGCGACCCACAGGTTGAGAACCGCTGCCTTAGGGTTTAGTCTGATGTTTGATGAAATCTGCAGTATGGTGGGAGATTGTGAAGGTGATGACCAGGCCCTGGGGCTCAGACAGAAAGAACTAAAGCAGTGGTTCTCAACCTTCCTAATGCCGCGACCCTTTAATATAGTTCCTCATGTTGTGGTAACCCCCAATTTCATTGTTACAAATTGAACATAATTAAAGCATAGTGATTAATCACAAAAACAATATGTAATTATATATGTGTTTTCCGATGGTCTTAGGCGACCCCTGTGAAAGGGTCGTTCGACCCCCAGGTTGAGAACCGCTGAACTAGAGGAAGCTTCCTTGAACCAGCCCCAAATCCCCAAGGAGGAAGCTGTGCTCTGTGGCCAGCAGGCCTGGCTTTCTCCTGGCCCCACAGAGGAGGTGTTCATCTATGAGGTTGACTCGAAGGCTCCACCAGAGATGATCTCAGGTAAAACTGCTCAAATAAAGTGCATCTTAGGCGACTCCGACTCCTACCCTCCATGATATAACCCACTTTAAATGACTTACTATCAAAATCTGTTCTTGCTACGAGGATCTGGTCTCTCTCTATTTTTTGGAATGCCCTTCTCAACTTTCCCGGCCTGCCCTAGAGCCTGAATTTTTGACCCTTTGGGATTCACACCTTTTGGTTTAAGGTCAGGAAGTGTCTGGCTTTAATTCTGAGGACTTCTTTGAAGTTGTGGAATGGAAGCCAGGAGGGAGGAGGGTTTGGGGCATGGAGAGGGGGAGGCAGAGGGCCTGGAGTGTCCATTCATCTTTGTATCTCCCCTGCTGGGCATGGTGCCCGGTGTGTATACAACAGGCAACCAATAAATGTGTGAAATGGGTAATATAGGTGTCGTTCCCTCAATACTTTTTTGTGTGCCAAATAACACCACATTTTAAAACAGCTAAATTAGAGTATTACAAAAGCCTAAACAATTCATGCTTAAAAAGGATTCTCAGCATAAGCAAAATACTCACCATAAGAAAATAGTCAGTTCTTGTCATATATATAAATTTTTTTTTAAATTTATATAATCTATCCACCTTTTCCCCCTAAAAGTGGGCCTGGAAATCATATCATATGAGGAAGGACTGAAGCAGCTGGTTTACAAATACTTTTTGGCTTTTCCTTCCGTTCACACTAAAGCTTGGACAGTATCTCTCTCCTCAAACATCTGAAGGATCACCGTGCACTGAGGGCAGACTCGGCATATTTTGGACCAACTTTAGGTAGAGGCGTTCAGCATTGGAACCAACCACCTCCACCAGCCATAGCATTCCTATCACAGAAGCACTTAGGGGGCTCCCCACGCCTGGCAGGCAGCCAGCAGGAAGGATGGCAGCTCAACTCAATGACCTCCAACGCTCCTCCCCAGGGGTAGGGAATGTCTATGCTTCTTTGTGTAGAACCTTTCCAAGCAAAGGTTCTTTCTTGTTTTTCCCTTTTTTTTTTTTAGTATCTCCTAGATAATCTGTTTAGAAACGAATCACCTCAACCCACAAAAAAGTTTTCTGTGCATTTAACAGGTTTGTCATAATATGTACGAATTCTGAACCCTTACGTCTTAAGTGAAAGTTTACAGACAAATTAAAAGGTCTACAGGCAGAATTCTAAACAGTGGATCTTCTGTCTATACTAATTTCTGCAGTGCTCTAAAGAACACTGGAATCTGGAGTGGGTTCAGCTGACTGGAACATATCTGAACCTTTGCTTGACAAATATTTAAAGAATGCCTACCACATGCCAGGCTCTCTTCTAGGCATTTGGACACATCAATGAACAAAATGGGCCTTCCAGTTGGTTATACTTAACAGGCATGGACGTTCCCTAATCCTCGTCAACTGATTTAATAAAAGGGGGCCATTGAAAATCTTTCATTCAAACCTCACAGCGAAAATGGAGGGGGTGAAAGCAACGGAGTGAGGGAAGGAGCAGAAGCTGCCGGTGTGAGGAGTGGGCCCAGAGGCTCCTGCAGGATGGGAGGGACAGGGCGAAGAGGACGTCACTTTCCACTGCACTGGGCCACACTCATTTGGGAGTTACCACCTTCTCTAACTTTCTCCTGAAATCTCTTTCACCTTCCTCATCTCTCTCAACAATGATCTACGATGATTTATCACCGAGGCAAGAAATGGCCACAGCTGCAGCCCTCATTCCTATTGACCTGCAGAATAATAATCCTACAGGATTTTACCTTTGGCCCTGTTCTAACAAGGAAGACTTTACCTGTTAATCATGTACAAATGGATCTATTTGTTAACTCAAGGAGCAAAGCAAAAGAGATAAGTCCTAGACTAGGAAGCCAGATACAGAGGTTTCAGTCTTGTTCTGCTGCTACAGTTAAGTGATCTTGGGCAGGTCACTTAACATGTGGAAACTGTGGTTTCCTTGGTCCTGATAATCACTAGGGCTCTTTACTGCTGTCTTGTTTTAGCTCATTCCACCAAATATTCTTTTAAAAAAAATATGCTATCTGATTCACGTAAAAACTATTTGTGATTGTGCACATATATTATAAGGCTGCAAACACATTGAAAGGGCATGGAAAGCCCGGCAGGCATAGCTCAGCGGCTGAGCATTGACCTATGAACCAGGAGGTCATGGTTCAATTCCCAGTCAGAGCACATGCCTGGGGTTGTGGGCTTGATCCCCGATAGGAGGCGTGCAGGAGGCAACCTTTCAATGATTCTCTCTCATCATTGATGTTTCTACCTACCTCTCCTTTTCCCTTCCTCTCTGAAATCAATAAAAATATTTTTTAAAATACAGGGCATGGAAAGACAAAGACCCAATTATTTAAAATGACTGGAGGACAGGGAGAGTTGGGAAGCAGTGAGTCGGAACTTAGCAAATTTGCTCTATATATTTTCATAATGTCAGTTTCATCTACAATGTGCAATAAGATAAAAAAATGAACACATCCATAATAGTATACGTTATAGGCTTAAAAATGTGAAGATTGACTTCTATGTGTTGTGAAAAAAATATTTCTCAATTCCTCTCCTCAGCCTCTTAAAACCAAGTATACAGAATGAAAAACAATATTTAGGACAGTAGTTATCTTTTGAGAGGGAGGAGAGGAAGTGTTGCCAATTTCCAACCCCTTCAGAGGGGTGGTTGGTCTGTGAGTATTCATGTTATTATTTTTTTAAACCACACACACACACACACACACACACACACACACACACGCATACACACTCCACAATGCTTTGCATATTACTCTCTGTGATATATTCCATAATGTAAACACACAGTAACTGGGAACTATCCACCTGTGTGCCTCAGTCTTATCCCTTTCTCCAAGTTGGTTTTGACAGAACAAGATGCTAATTTGCAAATGTGATCTCTGGAATACCTTTTCTGGGCCAGGATGGCTTCCTGGGCCAGCTGCCTCTCTTCGTCCCTGGCTTTCGCCACAGCCTCGATCTTCTCCTTGTGGCACTCCATCATGATCCTTTGGATTCTATGGACCATGCGCTGTTCTGCAGCCAAGTTTTCTCTCTGTAGTTCGTCTTCTACGTTTTGATGCATCTCTAACTTGGTTTGAGATGTTATATCCTTAAACAACAGTAAAACTAGGTTTAGAGGCTACAGCTTTGATGTTTAAAAATGCACACTAAGAAGTTATTCGAATCATAGTTCAACAACCTGATGAAATAGGTACTGAGAACACGGATGGTTTAAAAAATAGTGGGTATAATAAGGAAAACTTTCAGTTATATGGCACTATATAAAACCAGAATCATGCAAACTATATAGCATAAATATTTGTATAGACCGCTTTGGAAGGGCATATGCAGAAAGAGAAAATAATTGAATACAGGTATCCTTTTCCTTGATTGTATAAATATTCTACAGTGTCCTTTTATCTTTATATACAATTAGAAATACATACTATGATTCTCCTTTAGGAAGTAAGTCCTGGGAAGTGGCAGAAATAATAACTATGTCTCCTGAGCATCTCATGTGGTTAATGCTGAACATTACTGTAGTTGCAGGAACCTGCCTGCCAATCCCACTGCCACTAGTGTGGAAGGACAGGAACAAGTTTGCACTGCTCTGGGGTAGAAGGACCTATGGACGCCTCTGACCTTATTCATGAAGAGGACAGGGAGCACACTTGAACATTCCTCGATGATCCAGGCTAGTAAAGGCGAGTGATCGCACTCGTCTAAATACTTGGTACTGCACTAAGTCATTTCCAATATGAGTTCACAGGGCTACCTGTCTCTGTTGTAAATGACCCCAGACTGCTTTGCTTTCTTAGATTTGATATCTCATTATTGTAATTTTTCTTGTCCTTCACATGCCATTGGGCTAAGTACTCCCTGTTCTAACTGGTGTCAGCGAGCTCCTTTTTGCCATTCTAGTTCCCGGCATTTAATCTATTTTGGAATTGCAAAAGCAAACAAACCACATCTACTGAGATCAAATTGTTGAGAAAGTGTAAATACCCTTTGAATTAGAAATGGAGAGGTTCTGCTATGGGTAATAAATCTGATGTCTATCTTAGAGTCGGAGGACTTCACTAACTCCTTAGAGGATATTTTAAATTATTTCTGGGTTTCCCCAGAAATAATATTTTTAGTAATTGAGATTGTTGAGTAGTTGAGCATTACATGAAATATTATTAGAATGCATTTCTACTTGAATCACAGAATTTGAAAATGACATCCCAGGCCTTTATTTTGGCTGGGTTCTGAATTAGGATTCAGAGAATTAAACCCATTCCCTCTTTTATGTAATAACTTAGTCAAACCAAAATCATTTTACTGCTTCGCATAGCATGCAAAATACATATTTAAAGTTACAAAAAGAACTCAAGGAACTACTGCTTGACAGTGCTCTTATTCAGTGGAAAGTCCCCTGATAAATTACCTTTACTGAAATGCATTTTGAGTGCATTTAAAGAGATATTATAATTTTGACATATTGTAAGACATGGCCTCATGAGATCCATCATATTGACTGTACAGGTGTTTGACAGACACACAACGTCTCTCTCAGCAGTCTCTCTTATAGATCACACATAGGAATGCCTGGGCCTCTCTGAGTGCCTGGTTTCTTTCTACCTCAGGGATGTAGGGATTCATGGCATTGTCCTCCTGGCACTGATTGCCGGAAAGCTCAAGGCCCAATTCCAGGACCTCATGGAATACGCACATTTTTTAAGTTTTAAATTCACCCGACTTCATTGTTAATTCCTATTCTAATTTTTCTTTTCTCATTTTCTCTTAGCTCCCACTCTCTTTTACTTTTTGATATTACTGTATTTGACTAAGAGAATATAAACATCTCTTCAAAATACTATCTCCATTGGATCAGATCTTCAAGTTTTACTTAACAGCAAGCATTTGAGACTTATCCAAATCCTTTACATCCTATTAGAGCAATACCTGGTGGTCTGTACAGATAAGAATTTAATGGTATTTCGTTCTAAAGAACTCGGTTTTCTGCTCTATTTATTGATAACCTCAAATTTTAATATGTGAGAATCACACAGGCTGCTGGTTCATAGCACTGCCAGTGAGTCTGTAGGCCACGGGGCCCAGGAATCTGCACGTTAGGCTCCCAGGTGAGTAGGCTCTAAGGCAGGGGGTTCATGGACGCCCCTGAGCAGTACTGACGTCTATGACAGATGAATAACCCTACACATCCCTCTTAGACAAATCACGCCTGCATGATATAAAAACACCCCTGAGACAGCAGTGTAAATGTAAATTCCTAAACCCTCCTAGACGAATATTTTAGAAAGGTCAGCCTTTAACTTTTCCCTTTTAAATCTTCTTAGGACTTATATTTTAACATTAAGTGCACCAACTCTACCCACAGGCTATATGGAGTACAATCTTTTACTTGAAGAACAGACATCACATTTAACTTATCTTTGTGTCTTCACAACCTAATGCCAGGAGAGATACTCAAAATGTGTATCCTCTCGCTGCGCACTGGGGCAGGGTCCTAGAGCCCCCTTCCACGTTAAAGTGCTGCCCCTTTAAACTGCAGGATTTGGGGAGATCCAGGGCCTAGTGGGGAACAACCAGGGTGTCCGAAGTATTAGGGGGTCTGAGGGGTGGTCATCAACCGACAGAGAAGTATTTCAATACTTTAAGAACCAGTGTGGCCGGACGGGACAGGCCAGCTGAGAAGCAGGCCTTCCTAGACATGCTGTAAATGCTCTACGTGTTGAACTAAAAGAGGGGTCGGACAGTGGACCAGCAGCAGCCAACGCCGCAGGGGCCCTGGCCCTGGAGCCAAGCCGGGAGGGGGGGGCTCCCGCACCTTTAGGAACCGTGGAGCAGACGGCCCTCTCTCCTGGCAAGTTTTCTGAGGACAAGGACAGTCTGTGTGATCTCACCTAGTACAGATCCGATATAAGGAACCGCTGCCCAACAATGAATAAACAGGCCCCGGGCCCCAAACTTATCAGTTATGTTCTTATTAACTTTGGCCAAACCTGGAGCCAGACCTCTGCCACTTTCCCTCCCGCCTCAGCCCACGAATCACCGCATCTGTGCTGGGTCCTGTCCTGTCCCTCCTGGCCATATGTGAGAACAGTTCTGTACCCTTTTCCTCCAGCAGACTTTGCAGCTGAGGTACCGAACTAAACAACCAGTCCCTGGGCCTCTGGCTGGACATTTGCTTATTACCTACAGTCCTGTGCTTGAACAAGCTAGAAAGGGTATCTCCCCGTACCTGCACCCCCTCCCCCACCTCCTATTGCATGAGCTCTGGTCTTGAAGAAAATACTTGAGAAACAGCTCAGTGCAGACTTAGGTAAAAGGATAGGATCAGAGAGCCCAGGAGAAGAAAGGGAACAGCCCATTTCCTTCGTTTAACCCTGTCTGAGCACTAAGTCAGACCCGGTGCCGGTCACTGGGCTAGATGGTAACGAGACAGACGTGCCCTCATGGAGGCTGCAGTCAAGTGGGGATCAGACACTTAACAAGTGGTCACACAATCCAATTACAACAGTGACGGGTGGCAACTACTGTGAAAGCGGACGGGGTGTCAAGGACAGTATATAGGGGGTAGGGAGTGAGCGGGGGAGGGCAGAGCTGGTGGGCAAAGCTTCCTGTGCGTAGTGATGTTTGAACTAAATCTGAGGGAGTGCAGGAAGCACAACCCAGCAGGCACCAAGGTGAGAGGTGCACGGTGTGTTCCGGTCCGAGGACCCGCAGAAGGGCAGTGAGAGGAGGGAAAGAACAAGTGGTAAGAGATGTGGTAGGTCAGGGGGGCAGGGGCGGCTCCTTGGGGCCTGGAAACCCCCTAAAGGTTTGGGTTTATGACCCCAAAGGTTGTAGGATTCTGCGCCCACTGAGTGTTCAGCGTCTCTTCTGTGACAGTCCGGGACCTCCCAGCCAACCTCCAGAGACACCCGTCTAGATCTTACGCATTATTCCCTTGCCAGAGCTTTTAGTCATTTCAGTACTTTTAAAAAGACAACAAGCCACTATAAAAACCTGTAATTTTTTTTGATGTTCCTCTTCCAGAATCTGAATGTTGATGTTATGTTTGTCATTTGCTTCTTCAAGTGCTTTCTCCACTGCTTGCTTTTGGCGTTCATCAGCCTTTGAAAGAAAGAGTCCATTTATTTATTAGTATAATAGCTTTTTATGTTTACTGAAAATTAACAAACACCATGGGCCTCTAATTACTTGCCCTGTTCCCATCTCACACCTCCCACAGCAAACTGTCTGCGTGGGCCAGATGCCCTCACACATCCCAACAGTGGTAACCTTGCAGTTTCAGGAACTTGCCAAAGGTCCCACAGGTAGCCAGGATTTAACACCAGTTCTGCCTGACTATATTGTTTCCAACAAATCCAAACAGTGAAAGAAAGGTTAACTTAGCTTGATTTGCAACTTTTTACCTGAGCCCACAAATCAGCTTCTGCTAGTGCAACACGTTCTCTGAGTACAGCCTCTTGAAATAGTTCTTCTTTATACAAAAGATCTGCCCCGATATCTGTGTATTTGAAGAGAAATAATTACAAGTGTCCACGGACATTTCTTGGCTTCCCTTTTCACTATGATCATTTTTTATTAGAGTCATCTCAGAGATACATATGACATCCTTTTAAGAGATGTCAATCTTTTCTTTAAAGATACTGATGACAGACTCCACCAAGATGGCGGCATAGGTAAACACCGGAGACTGCTGCTGCAAACAACCACTTCAAAAATACAACTAAAAGACGGAACGGACATCACCCAGAACCACAGGAAGGCTGGCTGAGGAGAGACTCTTCAACTAGAAGGAAAAATAACAGCACACCGAGGCTCAGAGGAGGCGCAGTGTGGAAAAAACTCAGGTGCGGAGGTGCGCGCGCAAAGCGGGCTGGTGGCTGAGAGCGCGGTTGTCGTTTTCGGTCAGGGGGGAGTCTCAGACTCTGAGCTCCAGATACGGGCGAATCGCTGGGGACTCGGACCCAAACGGGAGAAGCGGGAGTGTCTGGCATCAGTTGGAAGGCAGCTTTCCCTCCGAGGTTTGCAGCGGTTCCGGGGGTTCTGAGAAGCAGAGCCTCTGGGAACAGGACTGAGGGCACCATAACGGCTCCCTCCGCCCGCCCTGTTGAGCCCGCCCCGCCCAAGCCCTGCGCAGAGCCATTTGCCGGATAGCCTCAGGCAAAGGCTAGATTAGCACCTCCCCAGAGGACAGAAGTTTTCCGCGGCAGACACAGCTGATTCACACAGCCAGTCGGCCTGGTGGTCAAATCCCTCTAGTATTAACTACAACAATCAAGGCTCAACTAGAACAAGACTGCGCACAAAGACCACTAGGGGGTGCACCAAGAAAGCATAAAAAATGCGGAGACAAAAAAACATGACAGAAATGGAGGATATAGAGCTAAAAATCGCAATTTTGAGGGCTTGCAAAAATGTGCTAGAAGCTGTCAATAAACTTGAGGAGAGAGTCACGAAAACTAATGAGACCCTCGATGCTATGATAAAGAACCAACTAGAAATTAAGCATACACGGACTGAAATAAAGAATATTATACAGACACCCAATAGCAGACCAGAGGAGCGCAAGAATCAAGCCAAAGATTTGAAATGCGAAGAAGCAAAAAACACCCAACCGGAAAAGCAAAATGAAAAAAGAATCCGAAAATACGAAGATAGTGTAAGGAGCCTCTGGGACAGCTTCAAGCGTACAAACATCAGAATAATTGGGGTGCCAGAAGATGAGAGACAGCAAGATATTGAAAACCTATTTGAAGAAATAATGGCAGAAAACTTCCCCCACCTGGTGAAAGAAATGGACTTACAGGTCCAAGAAGCGCAGAGAACCCCAAACAAAAGGAATCCAAAGAGGACCACACCAAGACACATCATAATTAAAATGCCAAGAGCAAAAGACAAAGAGAGAATCTTAAAAGCAGCAAGAGAAAGAGACTCAATTACCTACAAGGGAATACCCATACGACTGTCAGCTGATTTCTCAACAGAAACTTGGCAGGCCAGAAGGGAATGGCAAGAAATATTCAAAGTGATGAATACCAAGAACCTACAACCAAGATTACTTTATCCAGCAAAGCTATCATTCAGAATTGAAGGTCAGATAAAGAGCTTCACAGATAAGGAAAAGCTAAAGGAGTTCATCACCACTAAACCAGTATTATACGAAATGCTGAAAGGTATCCTTTAAGAAGAGGAAGAAGAAAAAGGTAAAGATACAAATTGTGAACAACAAACATGCATCTATCAACAAGTGAATCTAAGAACCAAGTGAATAAATAATCTGATGTACAGAATGAACTGGTGATTATAATGAATCAGGGACATAGAAAGGGAATGGACTGACTATTCTTGGGGGGGAAAGGGAAATGGGAGATGCAGGAAGAGACTGGACAAAAATCGTGCACCTATGGATGAGGACAGTGGGGGGGGAGTGAGGGCGGAGGGTGGGGCAGGAACTGGGAGGAGAGGAGTTATTGGGGGGGGGAAGAGGAACAAATGTAAGCTGAACAATAAAGATTAAAATAAAAATTAAAATAAAAATAAAAATAAATCAATTAAAAATATCCCAGGGTGAGGATTAAATAAATAAATAAATGAACAAACAAACCAGAAAAATAAAGTTGGTGTGTGGGGGGGGGGGGGAGAGGAACAAATGTAATCTGAACAATAAAGATTTAAAAAAAAAAAAATAAAGATACTGATGAAAGGGGTAAGTTGCTTCCTCGTTGACTGGGAGGGAATGCACAGCACTGTTAGGCCTGGATGGAGTCAGCGATGTGATGTCAGTCCACATGGTGGGCAACTGGAGAAGGAAAGTGGCAAAAAGGTGCCCATTTTGTACTCCTATAGAAGAGTAGCAAGTGAGTATTCAAGATTACCCAGCTCCTCTCTCCCTGCTCATATCTGGGTGTTGGTGTTACCTCCACCCAGACAGTGGTAGCAGAATGCCTTAATACATTACATGCCTTTCTTCAGTGTGTAGGTTTTCTTGGGTTTAGCTGCTTCAGTTGTGGAGTGAGTTAAGGGGTAGTAGTTTAGAACTTCTCCATCAATGATCTAACTTAATTTCCAAATAATAATATTCTCACAATAACACCCTCCCTCCCCAAACAAGGAAATGAAAGCCTAAAGAGGTGAGAGGACCACACAGTATCAGATAGCTGGACCTCGAGCCACACCCCGATCACAGCGCTGGGCACAGGTTCTCTTCATCTTCTCCTCCCATCAGAGGTGATGACGAATCCTATAAGCGCTGAAATCACACACAGTGATCTTTCTCTCCAACCCAAACTCTTAGTGTTTATTCTTTTATTTTTTTTATTTTTATATATTTTATTGATTTTTTACAGAGAGGAAGGGAGAGGGATAGAGAGTTAGAAATATTGATGAGAGAGAAACATCGATCAGCTGCCCCCTGCACACCCCCCACTGGGGATGTGCCCACAACCAAGGTACATGCCCTTGACCAGAATCGAACCTGGGACCCTTCAGTCCACAGGCTGACGCTCTACTGAGCCAAACCGGCTAGGGCTTAGTGTTTATTCTTTATTCCACTCATTCCTCACATCTAAGATTTGTTGAATTATTAACTTTTCATGTGATTAGGTCTTGATGATCAACTTTCTAAAATGACAAAGCACACCCTACACTGCAGTGTTCTCTCTCATCATGCCTAGCTTGGCAATAAGCACAGATAAGACATTGCGGACTCATGTGTTTGTCTGCCCAACATCTCTTCTCTACCTCTGGTAACAGGATCCATTTCTCTCAAGAACTTCCCTCTCTCACTTCAGGATAGCTACATGATCAATTTCATGA